AATCACTTTGAAATCACTTTGCTAGGGAGGGGGAAGAGGCCATTACAGGCAGTGGTTACTGTGTGGACAGAGGTGGATAGATGAAGAAGCATGATGTGTGCTCAATGAACAGTGAGTGGATCAACAAGGCAGACAGGCCTTTCAAGGCTCACATGAGGGCGAAGTGAGAACGTGGACAGGAAGTACCAGACGGGGCCTGGTCCAAGGCGAGCACACAGTTCCTGCTGGTAGTTGCTATTTACTACTTAGAAAGCTTGCTCTGGGGGGCGCCTGGTGGCTCAGTCGGTTAAGCCTTGTTTAAGTATCCAACTTCGGCCCAGGTCATGATCTCATGGTTTGTAGGTTCAAGCCCCACATCGGGCTCTGTGCTGACAGCTCAGAGCCTGGAGCCTGCTTCGGATTCTGTGTCTCCCTCTCTCTCTCTACCCTCCCCCGCTCACAGGCTCTCTGTGTCTCTCAAAAATAAACAAACATAGAAAAAAAATTAAAAAAGAAAGCTTGCTCTGGAAGTGAGCTGTGTCCCTTTGAGAGATGGTCTGGAAGCTTTAGGACAGTTCCGGATTTAGAACACAGCTTTATCAGTCTTTCCAGAGGCAGTGTGTTTAGATTACTGTTAAAAACGGGTTTGCGTTTCCCAAGTGAGGATGCTGGGGCTGGCACAGATGGGAGGCTGAGGGCTGAGATCCGGCCTCGGGCCTGAGTAATGCACTGGGCAGCGACTCCTGCGTGGACAGCGCCCAAGAGCAGAGAACAGTGGCAACTTGGCCTCCGCTGTGCCGGCCCCACTTCTCGGTGACTCATTGAACTTTCCTATGGGACAGTCCAGCCATGGCAAAGAGCAAGTCTCTTTTTCCACCCAGAAGCAGGGTGACTCAGGCCAGCCCGGAACAGCAGCTCCGGCCACTCACGCCTACCGCCGTCCACACCCCCGAGATTGCGTCACACAGCCAAGAGCACACAGAACGCACTCAATAAATGCTTACTGACTCACTAGCACTGTCCCGTAGGCCCTTCAAGACAGAATGAAGTCCCGCCCGAGGCATCCTCAGGAAGGGATTCCCCCCTTCATCAGGAAGCCAGCATTGGATTGTCACAGAGAAATGTAATTCAGCCTCCTCATCAATAGCATCCGCTCAGCTGTCCCATTTATTATTAGCAACAACGGTTGCCACCCAAATCCCAGCCACGACCAGCGTGTCCCCTTGGGCTCCCCTTTAACAGCCAGTCAAGTAAGCCATGAGATAATCACAGAGAGCCAGCGCTCAACCAAGGAAGTCACAGATTGGGCCCCAGGCTTTTGTTTGGATTCCACCTCTGTCCTCTCCACCTCCCAATATAGAAAACATCAGGCCTTCCTCTAGAAGGGCAAAGCAAGTCCTTGGGGGTGAACGCAGGAGGAGGTCTAAGGCAGCAGGAGCAGAAGAGAACAGAACCTGCAAGGTCAGCCTCAAGAAATCCTCCAGACGCCCCTCCTTGTTCACTTGGGTGTCAGCCCCTGCCCAGGCAACGGAGAAGCAGCCATGAAGGAGCACAGTGTGGGAGGCCACAGACCTCCATCTCGCTGCCCTGCGCCCTACCTCCATCTGGTCCACAGCAGCCCTACACCTGGATGCGGCCTTTCCCTGCAGACAAGCAGCCACCTGTTCTTTCCTTCTTGCTGTATCTCAGCTGGGGAGGTCTCCACCAGCACTGCCCCCTCTCCCTCATCCTCCCCCCGACCCTACTTGGGGAAGGGACACTCACTGCCACCCACCTGCTGCTCATAGGGTCCCTGCTAGGCAACCTGCCCTAGCTCTGAGCTCCTTTCTTCCCCTCCTGGAGACAGGATGTGTTTACATGTGAACGGCCTTTCCACAACCCCTGCCCAGGAGGTACCACACGCCCGCTGCTCACAGCACAGGACAGTGTCGTCTGAGCACCTGCGCCTGGGAGTGGGGCTGTGGTGGGGTAACGTGAGCCAGTCTGCAGAGCCTGGCAGAGCACCCAACACAGCATGCTCGTGCACGGTAGCAACTGTCTCCTTGTCCCTGCCTATCTGAATCTAGGACACACCAAAGAGGCAAAGGTGTGTCGACGGCAACAAGAGACATGGAAACAAGACAAGGATGGAGGAGAAGGTGCTCCTAGGAAAATGGGATGGAGAGACATGGGCTGGGTGGTGCTGGGGGAAGAGGGAAACAGAGCAAGCTTCTTGTCCCCATAGGCAAGGAAGACACTGCAAAAGAAAAGGATTTCTGCAGAGTTTTGTAAAGAGATTTTTGGAAGGTTGGGAGAGCTAAGGAACACAGAGCACACCCCCCACGGGGAGCCAGACAGGATATGTCCCATGGCTGCCTAGCCAGAGCACAAGTCTCACTGCTCTAACTCTGCTGCTGGCCTAGAGGTCCCCCTCCACAGCGCGGGCGGGGTGAGGGGGCCAGCTGGCCACCAGCCTAGCTGCCAAAGCCTGCGGAAAACGCTGGGGATGTTCCCCACAAGAAGACAAAGGGTAGGTTCGCTAGAATAGGAGATCCTCACAGGCAGGCCCTTGATTTCGTTCACTGCTATGTCCTTGGGCCTAGAATTGCCTGGCACATAGGAGATGCTCCAGGAACACGTGCTGAATGAGAGACTGATTACTCTGCCAAGCAAGCCAAGAACGAAGCAGGCGGTGGAGGCTGAGTCTTCGGCTTAGGAGTCTGGGCTAAAGAGGCCAGTGCTGATGCCAGTAAGTACTGTCTGCTCTTTGGCCACAGACTGTACCCCTCGTCCTGGACAGCCAACCCTACCCCCAACTGGCACCTCCAGTAAGTTGCATCCAGGCACAGGGAGTGCTCCATGCAAGCCTCCCTCCCCTTCTCTTATCCTACCTTCTTGCTCCTCTTTCCCTTCTTTGGGCTCCAATCCCACCAATTCACATTGAGCACAGCTCCTCGGCTGCTGGCGCCTGGAGACACTACTTCAGCTGTGTCATCTTGGGCCAGGAGCCTCCAGGGGTCTTTATTTACTATGACAACCGTGATGCAACAGAATTGCCTGAAGGGCTCGTTGAAAAACAGGTTTTGAGCCCCCGCCCCCCTACCCCCCCGCAAGCTTCTAATTCCTGGCCAGAAAAGCTCCATTTATAACAAGTTGCCAGGTGATACTGATACTCCTGGTCTAGAGACCACACTGAGAACCACTAACTTGTGGAATTCATTGTACTTAATGAAGGTGATGTGTGACAGGGACCAACCTGGCCAGAGCAGAGGTGGAACAGCATCAGGAAGAATGGGAAGATGGCTGGGTTCTTATGGAACATCTTAAAAATTAGGCAGAATTCTATTTAAATCTCCAAGGATTCAAAAATGCAAACGACTACAGGTACCAAGCAAGTAGCCTAAGAGTGAAGGGCTAAGTGAAAAGATTGATTCAATAATCAAAAAACTTCCCAAAAAGAAAAGTCCAGGATCAGATGGCAACATGGTAAATTCTAACAAACATTTCAAGAAGAATTACCACCTGGGCTCCATGCTGGGCTTAGAGCCTACTTAAAAAAAAAAAAAAAAAAAAGGAGGGGGGGAGGATGGGGGAGAAGAAGTGGGGAGGAAGGGGAGGAGGAGGAAGTAGAAGAATTACCACCAATCCTTCATAAACTCTTCCAGAATATATAAGAGGAGGGAACACTTCCTAACTCATTATCAAAACCATACAAAGAAACTACAAGGGTAGGAAACTACAGACCAGTATCCCTGCTGGATACAGACGCAAAAATCCTCAACAAAACAGTAGCAAACCAAATTGAACAGCGTGCCATATGCCATGACCACATGGGATTTATCCCAGGAATGCAAGGTTGGTCCAACATAAGAAAATCAATGTAATACATCATATTAATAGAATGGGGGGAGGGGGGGAGGGACACATGATCATCTCAACTAATACAGAAAGAGCACTTGACAAAACCCAATAATAAAAATACTCAGAAAACTAAAAATAGAAAGAAACTTCCTCAATATGATAAAGGACTTTTTTTTTTTTTATAAACCCAAGTCATGCTCAATGACACTGAAAGCATACTGAAAACTTATCCATAAGACCAGGAACCAAATAAGGATACCCACTCTCACCACTACTATTCAGTGTACTAAAAATTCTAGCCAAAGCAATTAGGTAAGAGAAAGAAATAAAAGGCATCCAAATTGGAAAGGAAGAAATAAAACAATCTCCATTTATAGATGACATGAACCAATATGGAAAAATCCAAAGAATACACACACACACACACACACACACACACACACACACACATACACACACACACGCACATGCACACGTTACTAAAGCTAATAAAGGACACTTAAAACCGTTTGTTACAAGCTCAACAAACAATATTCAGTTGTTTTTATATATGAGCAATGAGAAATCTGAAAAGAAAATTAAGAAAACCATTCCATTTACAGTAGCATTTTTAAAAATCTACTATAGGGGCGCCTGGGTGGCTCAGTCGGTTAAGCGTCCGACTTCGGCTCAGGTCATGATCTCGCAGTCCATGAGTTCGAGCCCCGCGTCGGGCTCTGTGCTGATCTCTCAGAGCCTGGGGCCTGTTTCAGATTCTGTGTCTCCCTCTCTCTCTGCCCCTCCCCCGTTCATGCTCTGTCTCTCTCTGTCTCAAAAATAAATAAACATTTTTAAAAAATCTACTATAATTTTACCAAGGGGGTGAAATATTTGTACCCTGAAAACTACAAAACAGTGACGAAAGAAATTTAAAACGACATAAATAAATGGTACGACATCCCTTGCTCATGGGTTGGAAGACAATATTCTTAAAATAGCAATACTACCCAAAGCAATCTAGAATGCAACCTCTATTAGAATCCCACTTGGATTCTTTGTAGAAATTGAAAAGCTGATCCTACAGCTGATCTGGAAACTGAAGGGAAAACATTCTGCCAAAACATTTTTTTTTGCAGTACGATTGAGTTACATTAGTTTCAGGTGTACCACAGTGATTTGACTAGTTTACACACTTTGCTATGTTCACCAACAAGAGTAGCTACCACCTGTCCTGATACCTCACTATCACTACAATGTCACTGACTGTATTCTTTATGCTGTTGTCCTTTATCCCCATGAGTTACTCATTCCACAACTAGAAGCCTGTATCTCCCACTCCCCTTCACCCATTTTGCCCAATCCTCCAAACCCCTCCCAAAACTGATGGCAACCATTAGTTTGCTCTATGTATTCATTAGTCCGATTCTGCCCTTTGTTTACTCATTTGGGATTTTTCAGATTCCGCTTATGAGTAAAATCATCTGTATTTGTCTTTCTCAGTCTGACATTTCACTTAGCACTATACCCTCTAGGTCCATCCATGTTGTCTCAAATGGCACAATCTCATCCTTATGGCTACATGATATTCCACTGAATACATATATACCACATCTTCCTTATCCATTTGTTAACAGACATGCCGTTTTCACATCTTGGCTGTATTGTAACTAATGTGGCAATGAACACAGGGGTGCATGTATCTTTTCAAATTAGTGTTTTCATATTCTTCTTCATGGTGGATTTGCCGGATCATATGGTAATTCTACTTTTAATTTTTTGAGGAACTTCCACTGTTTTCCACAGTGGCCTCACCAATTTACATCCACACTACCAGTATATGAGGATTCATCTTTCCCCACATCCTTGCCAACACTTAGTATTTGTAGCCATTCTAGCATGTGTAAAGTGACATCTCATTGTGGTTTTAATTTGCATCTTCCTGATGATGAGTGAAGTTGAGCATCTTTTCATGTGTCTGCTGACCATCTGCATATGTTCTTTGGAGAAATATCTGTTCAGGTTCTCTGCCTGTTTTTTAACCAGACTGTCGGATATGAGTGGTTTGTTTGTTTGTCTGTTTGTTTTTTTATTTGAGAGGCTGGGGTGGGGGAAGCATGACTAGGGGAGAGGGACAGGGAGAGAGAATCCCGAGCAAGCTCCACGCTCAGCACAGGCCAGACATGGGGTTCGATCCCACAACCCTGGGATCATGACCTGAACTGAAATCAAGGGCCAGACGCTCAACTGACTGAACCACTGGGTGGGTTTTTTTAATTTCTGGTGTTGAGTTGTGTAAGTTCTTTTGGATATTAACCCCTTATCAGATATATCATTTGAAAATTATCTTCTCTCATTCACTAAACTGTCTTTCTGTTTTGTTGATGGTTTCCTTTGCTGTGCAAAAGATTTTTTATTTTGATGTCATCCCAATAGCTTATTTTTGCTTTTGTTTCCCTTGCCATAGGAGACATGTCTAGAAAAATGTTGCTATGGTCAACGTCAGAGAAATTACTGCCCGTGTACTCTTCTAGGCTTTTTATGGTTGCAGGTCTCACAGTAGGTCTTTAATCCATTTTGAGTTTATTTTTGTGTATTCTGTAAGAAAGTGGTCCAGTTTCATTCTTTTACATATAGCTGTCCAATTTTCCCAACACTATTAAAGAGACAGTCTTTTCTCCATTGTGTATTCTTGCCTCCTTTATCATAGATTAATTGACCATGTAAGTGTGGGTTTATTTCTGGACTCTCTTCTGTTCCATTGATCTATGTGTCTATTTTTTCTGCCAGTACCATACTGTTTTGATTACTACAGCTCTGTAGTATATCTTGAAATCTGGAATTGTGATACCTCTAGTTATGTTCTTCTTTTTCAAGATTGCTTTGGCTATTTGGAGTCTTTTGTGGTTGCATACAAATTTTAGAATTATTTGTTCTAGCTTTGTGAAGAATGTCGTTGGTATCTTGGTAGGGATTGAATTTAATCTGCAGATTCCTTTGGGTAATAAGGACATCTTAACAATATTAATTCTTCCAATCCATAAGCATGGAATATCTTTCCATCTGTTTGTGTCATCTTTAATTTCTTTCACCGATGTTTTATAGTTTTTGGAGGACTTTCACCTCCTTGGTTAAGTTTATTCCTAGGTATTTCATTCTTTTGGTTCAATTGTAAATGGGATTGTTTACTTAAATTCTCTGCTACTTTGTTATTAGAGTATAGAAACGCTATCAATTTCTGGGTATTAATTTTGTATCCTGTGACTTTACTGAATTCATTTATTACTTCTAGTAGTTTTTTGGTGGAGTCTTTAGAATTTTCTTTGTATAATATGTCATCTGCAAATAGTGACAATTTAACTTCTTTACCACTTTGTATACTTTTTTTTTTTTTTGTCTGATTGCTATGGCTAGAATTTCAGTACTATGTCAAATAAAAGTGTCAAGATAGGACATCCTTGTCTTATTCCTGGTTGTAAAGGAAAACCTCTCAGTTTTCCACTACTGAGCATGATGTCAGCTGTGGGTTTTCATATTTCTCTATTATATTGAGGGATTTTTATCCTTCTTTTTGTTGATGTGGTTTATCACACTGACTGATTTGCGATTATTGAACTATCCTTGCATCTCCAGAATAAATCCCACTTGATTGCGGCGAATGATCTTTTTAATGTATTGCTGTATGCAGTTTGCTAATATTTTGCTGAGGATTTTTGAATCTATGTTTACCGGGGGTACTGGCCTATGGATTTCTTGTGGTGTCTCTGGCTGGTTTTGGCATCAGGATAATGCTGGCCTTGTACAATGTATTTGGAAGCTTTCCTTCCTCTTCTACTTTTTTGGAATAGTTTGAGGAATACAGGTATTAACTCTGATTTGGCCAAATCAGCCCACAAGACATAAGTTCCAAGCTCTGCCTTGTACAATAGGAAGCCAATAGGAATGTCCCTGAGCTGGAAAATGGGATGATGTAGGCAAAATTTTAGCAAGCCCCAAGGTGTCCTCTGTTGGGCACCCATGATGCACCAGGCACTGAACCAAGCACTTCACAAATGCCACGACAGAAGCCTCACAAGTGCCCAGGGAGTGGGTGAGAGGGTGGGAGGGTCAGAGCGGTTAAGCGACCTGCCCAGAGTAAACACCCAGTAAAGGCAGAACCCAGATTCAAGTCCAGATCTATCAGGGTTTGCCAACTCCACATCTCACGCACATGTCCGATGGGCATCTCAGACTTCACAAGCCCCAACGGAACTCCTGTTAATGTTCTTCTTCGAAAGCCTTCCTCCACCCATCCTGAAGCTCAGGACAAATCTCCAGGGTCATCACTGGATTCTTTATCCCTCATCCCTCACCCCCAATCTGACTGCAAGTCCACTGTCAAAATACATCCCAAGTCTGAGCACTTCTCCGCATCCACCCTGCCTCCACCAGGTCTCACTGTCCCTCAGCAGGACCATGCAGCAGCCTCCACACCAGAGCCTCCCTAATCAGCTCCCCATGTGATAGCCACATGGTCTTTCTGAAAGATAAAGCAGACGACACTGGTCCCCAGCTTAAAACCCTCCAATAGGGGTGCCTGGGTGGCTCAGTCAATTGTCAACTCTTGGTTGGGCTCAGGTCATGATCTCACGGTTCATGAGACCAAGCCCCACATTCCGCTCTGTGCTGACAGAGTGAAGCCTGCTTGGGATTCTCTCTCTCTCTCTCTCTCTCTCTCTCTCTCTCAAAATAAATAAGTAAACTTAAAAACTCCAACATACCACTCCACACCCCTGCCAAGGTGCAGGGGGTTCAGGCCATTTCTGTTTAGTAACAGGGTCACCAGGCTCACCCCCTGTCCTGGAGCTAGCAGTGGCACGGCCTCAGACTTGGGAGACGCCTTAGCCCTACCCCCAAACAAGCGTCCTGTCACTGCCCACACTCATCCCTAAACTGTCACCCTCAGCTCTCCTAGAGAAAGGAGGGTAACACGGCCCACTCCAGCCCACAGCAGACAGATCTGTGAGTGAGGAGGAGCCCAGCAGTCCCGCTCTCAACCAGTCAATCTAGGACCCCCATGTTCCCTAGGACGGTACAAAGGTCCTGGCACAGCAGAAACAAGGGATCCACGGAGCCTTCAAGGACAATCTGGCTTTGGCAGGAGAGGACCTTGACTCCTCACGCCAGCCAGGAACATTGCACACACGCCACTACCTAGTGCACACTGACTGCACGGCTCAGGGGCTCCGTGACAGGACGCAGGGCCCCTGCCAGGGCCATCCGGGGCGCCACAGCACAAAGGGGAGAGGGGGCTGGACCTACAGGGCAGGCCTGGCCAGCTCCGAGTGTGCACAGCCAGGCAGAAGCCCAGCAAGAGAGTCCCTCCTCCCTCCCTCACCTGGGCACCCGACCTGCAGCCGGCCGTGGGGCCCCTCAGGCTCCGGCACAGCGCCTACAATCCTTGTCAGACTTGCACAGAGATGAGTCCCGCCCGGTCCCCTGCCGGGACCCCATCTCAGATCTCCAGGCCAGGGAGGAAAGGCTCTTGTCCCCAACTCTGTCCCGCGGCCTCCCACAACCCCCTCCACACACATAGTCCCCACTGTCCCTGATCTTTGTCCCTCCTTCCCCTGAGTGACAGGTGGCTTCCATGCCCCATGGTAGGCCAAGAGCCACCAGGGACTCCCTGCCAGGCAAAAGGAGAAGGGGGTCTGGCTGCTCGGGCAGCAGGGCCTGGCCAGGCACTCCTCCACAGCCTGGGACACTCACCAAAAGATTCTTCAAGAAATCCATCATCTTCTACCCGTGCCTTCCCCTGCAATTTGGAGGGGCCCTGTCTGTCTGCCTGAGCACCACTGTAGCTGTTGCTGCCACAACCCCAGCAGCTGGGCTGCTGACGTTGGACAACTTCCTTAAGATCAAACAAGGAACTGCAGGATTTGGGTGTCCGCCCGGAGCTGTTATTCCACATTGGCTAGCCCTGACCTTTGACCCCTCCTCTGCCAGTGCCGTTTTCCTGGGAACCCAGGGCTGGTGGTCATGTGTCATAAGAGCAAGGGGTGCCTCCCAAGGGATGCATCCTGCCAGCAGGTTGTAAGAGGAGGCCCACTTGGGGGCCTGGGGGATGGAAGGCAGGACTCCCCATGCACGGGGCCTCAATGTTCTCATCTGTGAACTGGGAAGCCCTATATATATGGAGAGTAAGAACAAAGTAAAAGAAAGACAGCAGGTGTCTGCGACTTTAAAGGCATTCTCGTGAACCCCACAGACCCTGAAACGTCGTCCTACTCAAAGGTTTGAAGCCACACCTGAAAAAGTAAGTGGCTCCTTTCCAGATGGGGCTTGTACGAGGACGGCAGAGGCACAGCAAACTGCTTTCTTTCAAAAAGAGCCTGAGGGGTTTGTTTGTTTGTTTGTTTGTTTGTTTGTTTGTTTGTTTGTTTTTAGAATCATTACATGCATTTCTTCGGTTAAAAAACAAAAATTTTAATGTGCTTCCAAAAAGAGAGCAGTCCTCATGACCTATGGTTATCCCATAAGAAAAATTAAAAACAAATAAAGCAAATGGCTTGGACAGATACACTTGGCCTCCACAGCTCAGGGCCCAGAGGCGCCAGAGTGCTGTGCCATTAATAAGAACGCAAGTGTGGGGAGCGAGGAGCCAGGCCCCGGAGCTCAGCCCAGGGCTCACCTGGGTCTCAGAGTCTCTTTCTAATACTAATAAACATATTACATTTATATCCACCCACAACCCCCGGTCCCATTCCAGCTTTGGGCAGAAAGCAATGTCCCTGGCTCAGAAGGAGAACAATGAATTTTTTTAATCCCTCCAAAAAAGGCGGTGTGGTGTGGGGTAGCTCCGGACTTGGTGTGTGGCAGACAAGGTCCTAACTCGTGGCTCTGCTGCTATAAGCTGTCACTCACCTTCTGAGACTTAGTGTCCATATCTGTAAAATGGACAGAGCTGACCCACTTGGCAAGGTGTTTTAGAACAGGATTGGGGTGTATATACTGTGTCCCATGGAGGACGAAACACAAAGACCTTCAGCCTTTTAGTTGGTAGCATGAAAAGTACCCCAGCACCTGCTCAGCCCCACCCAAGAAGCTGATCTGGTCCCTGCCTTCCCTCCCCAGCCCAGCCCCACCATGCGCCTGCTTGAGCTTCAGGAAATGTCCCCAGGGGTTGGAGGAGGGCACAGCTCAGTTGAGGTCAGAGAAGGTCCTGGCATGGGTCCATCCCTGGGGGCTTGAAGTGACACTGGAAGTCGTAAGGGGTGGGGGGGAGAAGGGCAGGGTTCTAGGATGTGCACACAGTTGTAGGAGGCACGAGCTAGGGAGAGCCCTGGCTGCAGAGAAGGCTGCCAATGTCCCTTCCAACTCTTAAGACTTTGATAGATAACCAGTCTCCCTGCCCCTGGGGAAAGGTACCCAGAGTAAGGCTCCTGCCTCTTCAACATCCTCCCTGCTCCCTCCTGCACCTGCTTCCGGCTCATCTGCATTCCTGCTCGGAGCCAATGAGTCATTTAGCTGAGCCCTCACCCCGCCCTGCCACACCCACTCCTGCAGGCCAGCTCCCCAGGACACCCTCCCCAGAATACTTCTGCAACCCCCCTGCCACAGCACCCCAGCGCCCAGGGAGCCTCGTGGTCCAATCCCCTGCCTCTGCACAGGAATGCATTCAGAGGCAGCAGCAGTGAGGAAGGAGACAGGGAACTAACTGATCCCCTCTGAGCCAAGCACTGGCTTCAGGCAGGGCACCCAGTGAAGATCAGCCTCAGTCCCTTCTCTTACCTGCTCCCCTCTATTTGGTTGACTCCTACTTGCCCTTGAAGCCTTAGCTTGCAAATCACCTCTTCTAGGAAGCCTTCCTGGCTTCTACCCCTCCCCCAGATGGTACACCCACAGCATCCTGCATATGCCCTATGGAATCACTTCTTGCTCTGTATTTTAATTTGTTTGTCGCCATCACCCCCCCACCCACCGAATTCATCTGTAATCTCAGCACCTGGCACACAGGTGCTCAACAAATACTTGCTGAATGAATAATCAAATAAAAGAACTGAGTTCCATCTAGTGACTAAGAGAATCACCTAAGTAAATAATCACAACCCAATAAAAGAGGGGCAGTAATGGGGATAAGCCAATGCCTGCATGGATGCACAGAGGAGTGGGCAACAGCTATGCTACAAAGGAAGGACTTTCCAGAAAGGAGTTACTCTCCCCATTTCGCAGTAAGACCACAGCGATACAAGAAAATCAAGTCCTGAACCTAAGGATGCACAGTGGTAGAGCAGGAGTCAAGATCCAGGCCTAGGATTGGTTCCCACTACCTCCCATTTGATAATCTTCCCTTACGATAATCTAGTTGGGGAGGAGGTGGAAAATGAAGCTCAGAGAGGTTAACTGACCTGCTTAGGGTCACACAGCCTGTGAGGAGCAGAGCCAAGTGTACCAGGTGAAAGAGGGGATAAGGTGGGAGAGAATGGAGAGGAAGAAGGGGAAAGGGTGGGGGGAAAGGTGTCTGCCTTTGCTAAACTCCAGAGGGCAGGAAAGAGGCTGTGGGCAAGGAGGCCCACAGCGCCTGGCAGGATCATGAGCAGCGGTGGCAACAGGACCACACCCTGGTGGCCTCTCCAGAGGGACAGGCAGGGCCGAGACAATGAGTCCTGAGGACAGCAAAGCACAGAAGAAGGAACGAGGGCCAGGGAGACAAACAGCCATGCTGGTGGAAGAAAACTACCCACTGACCACGGGGAGGTCCGCGGGGGGGGGGGCCGGGGGGGGGAGATTAAGGTCTGAGCAAAACTCCCCTCTGTCATATTAGCCTCCTGTATCTTTGAAATGGGACCTCTCTTCCTTCTACACCAGAAAATCCACTATTAAGGATGCCCAACGGGGGCACCTAGGTGGCTCAATCAGTTAAGCTTCCAACTTCAGTTCAGGTCATGATCTCATGGTTCGTGGGTTCAAGCCCACATCGGGCTCTGTGCTGAAAGCTCAGAGCCTGGAGCCTGCTTCGGATTCTTTGTCTCCCCCTCTCTCTGTGCAACTCCCCCAGTCATTCTCTCTGTCTCTCTGTCTCTCTCTGTCTCTCTCTCTCAAAATAAATAAACATTTTTAAAAACCTTTTAAAGGATGTCCAATGGTAATAATTTGATTACGAAATATCCTGCCTGTAGCAAGTTCACCTGGACCAGCACACTTTCCTTCCCTACCTGGAATTTTTCAATAGCAGCTGTGGTCCCAGAGAAAGAGCACCAGAGTGGGAGTCAGACAGACCAGCATCCAAATCCTAGCATAGCCACTGGCCAGCTATGTGACCTTGAGCCCCATTTTCTTCATTTGTAAAACTGGAATGATGATCCCCACCTTCCCGGGTGCTTCTGATGAAATGAGATGACAAACGTACATGTGCCTAACACAAGGACAGCAACTGATCAACAACATCTGCCAACTCTGAATCTGTCGAGTTTATAGACTACCTTCGTGATGGGAGCAGGTGACATTTACGGGGCTCTTGTTTTATGTGCCAGGTCCTGGACTCCAATCCTCATGACCACCTCGGAGGCCGTCACTATTATTATCCCCACTCTACATGTGTGGAAACTGAGTCTGAGAGAAGAAATAACTAGGTCAACAGCCAGCATCGGCGAGACAAATACAGTCAGCCTCCAGAGTCCAAGTTCTGAACCAGCACTCTAACAGGGCCCGGGGGCATTGTTGGGATCAGCTGGTGGGTATACACGCAGCAGAAGGCTCGGGGTCCAAATCCCACCTGTCCTTCCCTAAAATCTTTCTGAAAGCCCTCAGCCAGAATTCCCATAGCACCTGACTTGATTTGGGTACATACCATATCCTGTTTCCTCCTAATGGCTAGGTGACTGGCTGATCTTCCCTCTCAATTAAAAACTCCTTGGGGCGCCTGGGTGGCGCAGTCCGTTAAGCGTCCGACTTCAGCCAGGTCACGATCTCGCGGTCCGTGAGTCCGAGCCCCACGTCGGGCTCTGGGCTGATGGCTCAGAGCCTGGAGCCTGTTTCCGATTCTGTGTCTCCCCCTCTCTCTGCCCCTCCCCCGTTCATGCTCTGTCTCTCTCTGTCCCAAAAAATAAATAAAAAACGTTGAAAAAAAAAATTTTAAAAACTCCTGGCAGGCAGAAGCTATGTCTATATACACCAGATTTCATCAAACCCAAAAATGACCTCCATTGTAAGATACACATTATTTTATGTATCACTAACAAAGCAAAAACACCACCGGCCACAAACTCTGGCATGCATTGGTAGTGAGATGCAGCCTGGTTTCACAGACGTGAAATGGGGGGTTTGTGGGGGAGTGTTATCTTAGAAGCGATGAAATACAGTAGTAGCTGCACAGTAATTATTTGTACTCAGTAATTATTTCTTGGGGTAGCAGAAAGAATACTAAACTTGAAATCACAAGCCTCAAGTCAGTGTCTTACCAGCTGGCTAAGAGGAGTGCTACATGTACCTCTCTAAAATTCAATTTTCTCATCTATGAAGTCGGGGAAAGAATTCTTCCCTTCCAGGGTACTTGTGAGAACCAGAAGCGTTCAAGAAAATGCTTCATAAACTGTAAAGCACTGTCCCAGCTAAAGTATAAGCAGGATGTACAGTGGATGATGAACACCATCAGTGGTTACAACCAAGGCGGGGAGGCCCTGTGGGTGTTTGCAAAGGGCACTGCCTTGGGGGAATCCAGGCCCATTTTCCAGGAAACAACTGAGGCTCCTGCTTCCAAGATGTCCCTACCTTGGAACAAGGGCATGGCACTTGTTCCCAGGCCTGCACTGGTTAAGGAATTGTGAAGTCTACACAGTAGAGGCTCTCCAAGCCAGCCTTTGGGGTGCCGGTCTAGTCTGCGGCCTGAAACTCTGAGGCTTCCGAACAAAGGTGGGCTCAGGTTCAGGTCCAAGGCTCCCAGTGGGGGACTGGGCAAACAGCTGTGTAAATCTCATCGGGTTATCAAGTTATAGGCCTGCAAAGGGTGAGCCGGGCTGTCAGGCAGCAGCCTACACGCAGGAAAGTGAGGGAGTCAGCCTGGCTGTGGTCTCACCGGTGGCCACACTGTGGCCCTCTGTTTCTATCCTGAGGAATAGGAAATATAGCAGCCCTGAGGCTGAGAGGGTGGGAGCAAAGGGCAGCGTTGGCCTCCAGGAAAACCTCTGCTTTCCCCCAAGTCTTCTTGTCCCTGGAAATGCAAAGTGCCCTGAGCTCCGTGGCATTTCTCTCTCCTAATTGCCACTGGTGGGTGGGTGTCTGGCTGGGTGTCGGAGACGTGGCTCCCCCCTCCATCACTCTTTGGTGGTCTTTGTTCCCCAGGCAAGGTACCTGCACAAACCAGGGCACCTTCCAGCTCACCCTCTCCCTGTACGCTTCCTTCCCCTCTCCCTCTCTCCCCTCTCCCTCTCTCCCCTCTCCCTCCTGCCCACTTTCCTGCTGGCTCTCTGAGAGCAGAAACTGCAGCCGTGCTGCCCAGCACACCTGGACTCTGGGTTTGTAGAGAGGACGGCGGAAGCCTTCTGTACCCTGCCTCTCCCCCTCGCCCTCCACTGAGTAAGTTTTAAGAACCAGGCACTCCTGACCCAGTGCCAACGGGCAGCCTCCCCCGGTCCTGGCCTTGACCTGTACCTGCGAGAAAGGAGAGGCTGCAGAGGCTGCCACTGGGCTCACCCATTCAGAGAGAAGCCAGCCCAGCCGCGACACGGGACCTGCACCCTCCCCAGCAGACCCTGCTCCCCTTCGCTTATCTCAGGAGCTGTCCCCTGCCCTCCCATGAGAGTGTCCCTGCCCTCCTGGCAGGCTAGCACTACCTCGGGGAACCATGAACACACCCAGCTACCACCAGGGAGAGTGTCCTCATCCTGCCGGTCTCTTGGCTGTGACCAGAGCTCAGCTCACTTATCTCCAAAATAAAGACTCCTCCTGGTCTCACTCCCTAAGTCACTCTGAAGCTTGAGGCAAGACCGAGTTGAGGGACACCAACTTCACACCATTTCTAAAGTAGGAGGCACCGTCCACCACGACATATGCCACACATCAACCAGCCTTCTCAACAGGCCTCTCCTAGCTCTGTGCCTCAGTTTCCACTCTCACTCAGAGTGTACAGGAGCCGCCCTCCCCACCACTGGGGCCAAGCGGTCACCCCAGAGGCACCTGGCTGCTCCCAGAGCCCTCATCCCTGGGAGGTGCTTCCAGCTGTACAACCGCTGCTCTGAGACCAAGAAGAAAAAAGAAGCTCTCCACCCCCCATGCCCACACCAGCACTGTTACTAAGTGGCAAGAGCGAGGTTTAGAGATTACCTAAGTCAGAATTGCAATTATCCAGGCTCTTCCTGTTAACACTGCCCTCCATCCAGGGCAACAGATCCCTGGGATTTGGCTGAAGTCAGTCCCTTGCCTAGCACAGAGCAGGTTCTCATCAGATGCACTGGACTGAAAACGGAATAAATCAATACGTGTGTTTGTGCCGCTGGGTTTGGCTAAGCGAAGGGCAGTATCAGAAAAGAAGTCATAGGAGATGGGTAACTTTGGGGGCTCGTGTTCCCAGTATGCCTGAGAGATGCCATCTGAGTCATCTCACCTCAGCCCTGGTGGCCCCTAAAAGGCCCAACTGTCTCCTCCCCGGAGGGAGAAGGCAGAAGGAAGTCTGGGGGGCTCCACCCCCCTCCTTGCTGAGGGTTTCGTTTCAGGCTAACCTGCAGGAAGGGGACATCTGCAAATTGCATGTTCTTTCCCTTCCCCATCTTCCAATTAATGATTACCTAAATAAATGCTTCGGTCCCGAGCGACTCGAACAGCCCCCGAGCTCCAACAGCCTAATTATACACACACAGCCACGTGGGGACGTTGACACTGAACAGCTCTTTCCCATAAACCATATGTCAAGTTACACGATTGTCCCGCCTGCTTTTGCCAGCTGAGGCTGATGAACGGGTACTGGGGCAAATGCAGGCCCTTGTAAGATCGGGGCGGGGCCGTTGGGCTGCCCACCTCAGGCCCAGCTGTCCTGGCTGGGGGGCAGCAGCGGGCTACAAAGACACCACACCCACATGGGGTCCTGCAGCATCCACCTCCCACACAGACGCCCCAAACAAAGGAACTACAACAAAGAACAGCCCAAATGTTCACATCCGCCATACACCCACCCCCCAACACACACACACACACACACACACACACACACACACACGGTACACACTCACTCATGCAAACACACACAGGCTTGGTCCTCTGGGGTTTGTGGGCCCCCAAGGTGAGGACCATTAGCCAGCTGCACACACCCTCCTGCAATAAACAGTTGTATCTGTTGCTGTTTCTAATTTGCCTGCCCAGTGGTCCCCTCCTCAAAAGCAGACAACAAAGGAGGCACGCAGAGTGAAGGAGGACCAAGTCGAAGACCTCAGCCTTCTTCTCGCAATCCAATTCCTTTTCTACCAAAAGATCTGTGTATCCAGTGGATACGCTGGAAGCAGTGTGGGCGCCTGGCTCAGAGGGCTAGTGCCACCTTCCAGACCTCACACTGAGGCTGCACGCAGGGCAGGACTGACACAGCAGATGAGCGGGCCACGCAGGGAACATGGGACGCGGTAGCAGATGCACCCATTCTGACTGAGGAGGCCGCCGCCGTCCCCACTTAGGCACGGTCTCCCTAAGGATGTCTCCAGGAGCACCTGAGTTGGGGAGGTAGGCAGTGGACACGGTGGTGGGGCCCTAGCGCCTGGCAGCCTGACCCCCTGGGTCTGCCCAGCTGATTTTGCAGCCGGTGGCTTGTCACTGCTCCCCAGCCCCCAGTAGCCCCAGCCCCAGGCCACTCGCTAGTGTTGATGGTACTGGCCACAAGGGGGCCTGGTGAGCCATATGGGGAGTCCAGACCCACAGCTGGGCTCCAAGTCACTCCCTGTGATGAAGGGGATGAAGTGGAGACAGGTGATGCCAGAGGTCTATCTAAAGAGAGGGCTGATCTTTTACAGACTCGGACACACTTCCAGGACCTCTTCAGGTCCCCAACGCGCAGGTGATGTGCCCTAGCCCCAAGGCACAGCCCCACTTTCACTAAATTGGGAGTTCCTTTTGGCCACGAGGCTTGGGCTGGAAGGCTTGCACTCACCCATATGACCTCTCCTAGCACCACCAAGCAGCCTGGATTTGTCCCGCCCTGGGAAACAGTGTGCCCTGAATGCAAAAGGAGCCCACTGCCTTCTCAGGGCAGGGCAGTCATGGGGTCTTAGCTACCAGGATAGTCTGGCCATGCATAAGAGACCCCACCTCCAGCTCAGCTATGCTTGGCCAATCTGGTCCGTTCTGGGGAATTCTGTACACCTTAGGTGACACAATCTTCCTGTCCCCATGGCTAATCAATCTGGCCCCATAGCTCCCCTGAAACTGCTCTTTTCAAGGTCACCAATGACCTCCATGTTGCCAAATCCAAGAACTTTTGCCCTTATCATCATCTCTCAGCACCACTCCCGCTTCCAAATTAGCATTTCCAAATACATATTTGTTTTCCCACTTCGTTGCCTCATGAATATCCAAACACAGGACCTCCAAAATTGGGCCCCTGATATTCCCCCCAGAACCTTTCCAAGCCTTTCCATCTCAGAAAAATGGGTCCAAAACACCCATCGCTCAAGTCCCATCTAGGACAACTAGACATCTAGCTCCCGCCCCTGTCCAGCCCAACAGCACCCCTCTTCACTCAACCTCTTCAATATAAGTCAAATCCATCCATTTCTCCTCATCTGCACCACGAACCCACCCCCAGTCTCAAGCCCCCTCCAACTTTTTGCCCAGACTAAAGCAGCAGACCCCAATCTGATCTCCCTCCTTCCACTTTTGCTGATCTACAGTCCATGGGGCCCATGCCCACCACAGAGCTCTCTGTGAAGTTGAAGGCACAATCTGGATGCACAGCCCCAGAGCCCTGAACCAGGCCGGGCGACCAGCTCCTGCCTTCGAAGCCCCATCCAGCTGAGGAGTCCAGGCTAGCCCCAGGGTCTCTCAAGAGTCTAGCCCAGGTGACCGGGTGATCGTCCTCCTGGGGCTGAGGCCGAAAGTCCCCCGCCCCCTCCGTGTCCCTGACAACAGCTGATAGCCAATTCCCAGAAGAGACCATCTGGGTCTTGGTGCACAGCACCCCCCACGCTCGTGCATCAAGGAGATTTAGAGATTATCAGTGAGCTGGAAGGCCCTGCCGGGGTGTTTGCACGCCCTGTGATATTGCGTTTTAAACATGTGTGTCTGTTTACTCTCCCTGCCAGGGCTTTGCTGTCCGCCCCGTAGCCAGGCAACACTATCTGACCTGGGGGACCGTGAGGGGGACTTTCTGTGCCAGGCAGGTCACCTGGGGAGGGTTATCTAAGTGCAGCCAGTCTCAGCATAATGAAGCTCCTGTCTCTGCTCCCACACCTTGCCTTCCTCACCCTCAGATGATCCCGGGCCACAGGCCCACAGGTCCACAGCAGACCACTCTGATGAGAAGAAGTAAAGTAAATGGGAGGAAGAGGACAGTGTGTGGTAAGAGGCCAGGCAACGGCACCTCCTTTCAAGAAAAGATTGGACAGCTCCAAATCAGGGCTGAGTGAAGCTCACATAAGTCACTTTTCTGCCCTCAAGGCAGGGTAATATATTTCCACCTGGAGGGGGAAATCAGCAAATTGCTGACCCGAGGTAACAGAATTCAGGTCACATCTCAGCTCTCAACAGTAGGAGTGCTGTGTGCCCTTTGCTCTGTGGAAAAGCTTAGGGACAAATGACGTGCTTATCCTCAAAACCCAAGAGTGAGGAAGGACATTTGAACTCATATAACTGGTCATGGGCTCACAAAGCAATGAAGTCAGGCAGACAGACAATCAGCCACCGAGCATGGAACCCCAAAAGAGGAAGACCTACTGTGTGTTGGCTTCTCGGATTTCCTTAGAAAGTAGGGAAAAGTCCTCCATCTTACAGATGAGAAGCTCAAGTCTAACAAAGCCCAGTGTCTCCCACTGAACCGTGGAGGTGGCCTGACCTTGCCACAGCTGAATAATAAGACCCTCCAAAAGATGCTCTTGTCCTGACCCTCAGAACCTGTGAATATATGAGGCGCATATAAGGGGAATTGGGTTACGGATGGAATTAAGGCCGCTAAGTCGGCTGACCCTAAGATGTTTAGAGGTCCTAGACCATACAGGTGTGCCCGATGTAATCAAGAGTCCTGATAATCAGGGGGCCAGACGGAGAGAAGCAGGGAGACGGCAAAATGGGAGGACTTAGCCCAACGTCGCTGCTCCAAATGGAAGGGAGGAGCCCCGTCAACACCTTGTTTAGCTCAGTGAGACCCACCTCAGACTTCTCACCTCCAAACATGATGAAAAACCTGTGTTATCTTAAGCCGCTAAGTTGGTGGTCGTTAGTTTCAGCAGCCACAAGAAGCCAGTACTGACCTCTTGACAGGAACCATCCAAGAAGATTTTATGGAAGGGAGGAGCACCATGCCTCTCACTGGGTAACCTCTCCTCGCTCCTCAAAACTGAAATGCTCTGCGGCCTGGGGTGAACTTTTACTTTGGTATTTTGATATCCGCCTTGAAGCCCTTTGCCGACCTTCCAAGAAACCAGGTGTGGACTCCTGACCGCCACTGGGCCTGGGACTCATGCAGCAAGAAGAAAGGCTGCCCGAGCAGGTGGCAGAGAACCCAGACATGCAAAGAAGAATTGGGGCCCTGCCTGTCCACGGCAACTCAGGCTGGTCTGATGAGCCGGGATGCCTGGGCCTCCTGGCTCCCACCTATGCTGCCAGCACTAACCTCGGGGGCCTTGGGCTCTGGGTCCTTGGGCATCAGCCCTGCTCTCTGGCCCAACCCTGACACTTACTAGACCCTTCCAGCGCCGGAAGACCCACCTTCCTGCTCCCCAGATCTGACCGTGGTTCCTAAGCTACTTTCTGCTTTACTATTCTGGTGTTTGAAGGATTTGCTCTGGGGCTCCCAGACCCCCAGGATCCATCCCCTCATGGGGAAGTTACAGAGAGAGCATCATGCAAGGATTTCCTGCCTTTGTGAGTTTACCCAGGCTGCCCTTGTCTTCACACCCAAGCAGGGACCACTGGACCCCTTAGTGGAGGTCATGTCTCATCTTGGGTCACTCTCAGGGGTAGTTTCTGGGGCTTTTGCGTCCTTGCAGCCATCACACGCTCAAAGACTAGAGATCGTATCTTCCTAGTTCAACAAAAGGTCACCAAGTATGAGGGGACAGAGAAAAATAAGTCACAGCTCCTGCCTCCTGCTTCACATGGCCTGACTCTCCTGACCACAGAATGACCACCCCAAAAGGACACTCAGTTGCTGTCCCAAACTCTATCTGGACATCCAAGGGGAGGTTAGGAGGGGGGCAGGGAGTGGTGGGGATCCAACTGGATTCTCAGAATCATCCTGATCCCCAATACATCTCTGGGGTGAGATGCAATTCGGGTCTCCTGAGCCCGGGCCACCCACCAGGACTAGCCTCTGAGAGGGAGAACCCTAGAAAAAACAGGTGAACATCTGGCAGAGGTCTTAAACCCCGCCACTTTCAGGAGCTGGGGAGGATATGAAGAGCATGTCCCTCCCAATAATACTGAAAGGAATCTTTCAACATCATGTTGGTCAAAGGAAGCCTATGTGAGGACTAACTGGGTGGGGCCAAGCCCACCAGCCCTCCACCTCACCTCTCCCATCCCCTTCCACCCTTCCTCCCACTTTCTCACCCTCCACCCCCTCCTTGCCTCTTCTCCCCTCCCCACCCCCTTTCCCTTCTCGCCAGTCTCCCTTTCCTCTTCTGCTGCACATGACGCCACCCGGTCATCCACCCCTCACTCCTGGCTTTCCATTTAGAGCTAACCAGCCATCATATTA